CTGTCATGGTGATGTCTGCAGTGTCTGCTATTTCCTGCTGTGCTCCTTCAGGCATGGGGATACCTGAGGGGGTGAGTGCAGCCTCCCCTGGCCCGGCCTGCCCTGGGACTGGGTACATGTGCACAGCCCAGTTGCTCAGGGTTTTCCCCTCCTGCCAGTTGTGGGATCTCAAGGCACCTTCCCACAGTCCACCCTCCAAGGCTTGGTGAATGGGTGATCCCCAGGAGATTGCAAACTCCCCCTAGAAAGCCTCACTACCTGGATTAGGTTGGGTAAGACCTTCCCTGTGCCTGTGCCCCTTTGGGGGGCTGGGACAGCAGTGGTCCTTGGACTGAGCCAGGGTTGGGGGGGCTGCCTGGGGCCAGGGTGCTAAAATAAGGCAGTACCCATCTTGTGGAAAAATGCAGGAGGTGGGCTGCAGGAGAGTCAAAGCTCCATCTTGACACTCCCCATCATTTACAAAACACAATTTCAGAGATAAAAGGAAGCATCTCAAGGTGGTGGCCACAAGCACAAGCCCCAAAGGCCCCATGTGACTGCAGACCAGTGCAGGCCGATGCACCCAGCCATGGAAAGCTGGCCCTGAAGGAGGTAAATGGGAAACATGGATTTGAAGTCAGGTGTGTCTGGTGTCAGAATCTGCACACTTTGCACTACATGTGAGAACCCTTACGCAGCAGGGGCCAATGCTGGGTGGAAACTGTCTGTCTTTAGGGAGAGGAAAGACAAACAGCTGTCTTTCTTTCTTTCTTTCTTTTTGAGACAGAGGTACATGTGCACAGCCCAGCTGTGAATCACCCATTCACCAAGCCTTGGAGGGTGGACTGTGGGAAGGTGCCTTGAGATCCCACAACTGGCAGGAGGGGAAAACCCTGAGCAGCTGGGCTGTGCACATGTACCCAGTCTCAAAACAAAAAAAAAGAAAGAAAGAAACACAGCTGTTTGTCTTTCCTTTCTCAAGCTGTCGCCCTGGGTAGAGTGACATGGCATCACAGTTCACAGCAACCTCCAACTCCTGGGCTTAAGTGAGTCTCCTGCCAAGGCCTCTCAAGTAGCGGGGACTACAGGTGCCTGCCACAATGCCCAGCTATTTTTTGGTTGCAGTCATCATTGTTGTTTGGCGGCCCGGGCTGGATTCGAACCAGCCAGCTCAGGTGTATGTGGCTGGCGCCTTAGCTGCTTGAGCCACAGGCGCTGAGCCAAACAGCTGTCTTTCAAAGATACTTCTTTTCATGAACTTTCTTGCAAGGGGTTCAAATTGTACTACAGGGTTAACCTATTCAATGTAACCATGGGAAGAAACACATTCTTCGGTGCCTCAGAATCAATCTCCCTGGTGATGTGTGCCCTTGAGGTCATGAAGATGATGCCTTCACTGGGCAGGTTTAAGAACTTAGTGGACTTAACCTATGCAAGTACTTACCACTGTATGTGGCATATATAAAGTACTGCATAACTGATATTTAGGTAAGGACACAAACTCCTGCTGCCACCTACAATCCAGACCAGCAGCCTCCCTGTGCTCCAGCCCCTTGTCCACAAGCTAAAGGAGAGCCCCCCACCCTCCTATGTCCAAGTCCCAGTCAGCCCCAGGCCTACCTTGCGTTTCCTCTTGGATTTCGGCAAAGCCTTTTCGGGGGCCGTGTCTGATGTGTGGCTGGGCGGTGCGCTCTCTGTGTCCTTGGCTGCAGGAGTGCTCAAGACCCCTGGCTCCTGAGGCAAGTGTTCTGGGATCCTGGACAGGAGGTTCAGGTCAATTTTGACCCAGAGAGACCTGACCTCATCACTGTCCTTCAAAGGGGAGAGAAGTTCATTACGGCCAAAGGGGACCAGCGTGTAGAACTGCTCCTCCAGCTCCTTGGCAATGTCACTGGTGGTCCTAGCGTTGATGGAACCCACAGGGGCCCTGGGGCCGCCCCCACCAGCGCTGCTGACGCTGTTGGCAGCCTCCTTCAGTCTCTGGTCACTCCCGGAGGTGGTGGCAGCTGCGGTCTGCGCTTTGGACAGAGGGTACTCCTCCTGCTCAGACTCCAGGTCGGAGTCCGAGGAGGACGACGAGGACGATGACTCTGTTTCAATGAACTCCTTGGATTTGGGGACGATCCTGCTCAGGCCCCGCGTGCGGCGCTTTTCGCAGGTCACCGAGGAGCGCAGCTCCTTGCGGTGGTTCACTCTGCTGTTGCCGCAGGGCCTGGTTTTGGTGGGCTCTGAGGGGACCACTACACTTGCTCCCAGAGCTTCTGTGGCCACGGGCTCCTCAGGCCGGTGGCAGTTGGCGCCGTCCCCAGCTGAGGTCCTCTCGGTGCGCCTGGTGGGCTTTTTGCCTGCCGACCTCCGGGCAGGCGCGGGCGCATTCTCCACCGGGGCACCAGGCGCCGTGGGTGGCGCAGGGGCTGCGGTCACGGCCACAGCCACGGCCGCGGGCGGGGACTTCTGCTTCACCCCTTTGCTCCCAGGGGCCTTGTTCGCCGTCCGGGGCCGCTGCTCCTCCTTGCAGGTGCTCTTGACTTCCTTCTCTCTCAGGCTGTTTTGGCAAACGTCGGCAAGTTTCCCGCAGTCCTGCCCCTCGTCTTTCACGGGGGTGTAGTATTGATTGCTCTCTGGCCCGTGGCTTTCATTTTGGATCAGAATAGGAGGCTTGTGGGGATTAACTTTGTTTAGCCATTTATCCAGCTGCCATTTGTTAGAGGACGCTGGTTCAGCCTGAAAGCAGAAAACCAGTGACAACAAAACATCTTTTATTACAGGCTCACTTAGAAGGGGCCTGTTTTTATCTTGACTTACTCTTCTCAGTGTGGGAGCAGAAAACGAATGGGCTGGGAGCAAATGGAAAATGGAAGCATTAGATGTGGGTAGCAGCCCTCATCTGGCACTCGGGGGGTGGGGGGGTCAGGATGGCACTGCTCTAAAGGTCAGTGCGGAGGTCTACACTCTATTTGGAAAAGTACAGGGAAGCACTATGGCTCATTAACGCAATTCCAGCACCAATGTTACACAGTATATTTATTTAACAATTATAAATACATACCTGAACTTGAGATTCCATGAAAACGAGAATAGTTTGGAGGGCCTGCATGTTAAAGCACTCATTTTGGGGGTGCAGAATTAAAACTGTGGGGGAAATCTAAACAGGGGGCTAAGTGGAACCTACAATCCTAAAGAATTAATGTGTAATTTATGTATGTAGTGAAGGCAAGCACGGCACAGTTATTTAACGGCAGAAACGATGACTTTGGCAAGAAGGTTTGTTGAGCAGTTTAGAAGTTCTGTTTCAAAGGGACTCATATGTGCCACACACTTTGGCAGCCTGACTGGGTTAGTCCATCCTCAACCTGCCTCTCTCACACTTTGCCAGAAACATTTCAGACATGGAGACAATGACAGAAACCTATCCTGCAAGTCGCTTCGCTAATTTAGAACAAATCACGGACAGCGCAGGTTTTAAATTCTGGCCCATATAGATCGACTCCACTGGGGTGAGGGTGGAGAGCAGGTTGGTGAACGCCCTGAGAAGGAATGAAGTGTGCAGATGCATTTTTTTTTGCAGTTGAGTCTCTAAGAATATGTCTTAAAAAAGGGTAAGATAAAAAACAAAAAAGGTCAAGAACCAATACTTCTATAGGAGTGTTGATTCCTAATGAAGGTACATTTATTCAGCATTATGAGAAGTACACAGTATACAGTTCTGGCCACACTATTTTCAATTTGTGACTGAAGTGAAACCTGGAGTATTTGGAGTGATCCAGGTGAGGCATCTTTCCTTCCCTCTTGCCTCCCACCCTCTGGGTTTGTGGCACACATTTTGTCGGAGGGAGGTCAGACACCAACCTTGAATGAAAAGACACTGCCTACTTTGTGTTTTCAGACTCGACTGGTTCAAGTCTAGAGTAAGGCAAGTTCCTTTATGGGAGAAAAAAAGTAGTTTTTTAAGATAATAAATTCTAAAAGCTTCCTTTCCTGTACCAAGATTTGTTTTCCAACAGTGAGGGCTGTGTATAAAGAGCAGAACTCAGGGCTCTGGGTGTTGTCACAGGCAGCAAGGATCTAAGGAGGACGAGGAGAGGGCTACTTGGTAGACACAGGAGCCCTGGCTGAGTCTACGGGAGTCTGGGGTGCAGCTCAAGGATATGGGAAGCCACTGATGGGCTGCAGGGGGCAAGGGTCAAGAGGAACTGGCCACAGAGTGTGGGGATCAGGTAGACAGAGCTATGAGAAGGACCACTGACATCCTGCTGGTTGCTCCAACCAGATGAGACCAACTACACTTCAGGGCAGACCAGCATAGGGTGTCCAGTGGCTTGGGAGAGTAAAATCTCAGTGGAGGCCAGCATGAGGATGGAGGCCCTTCCCCTGAGGCTGTGAGGACAGATAAGCCCCTCCTGGAATGCAGGTGCACAGGGGAGACCCTCAAAGCCCTGATAGGGAATCTAGCTTTTGACTTGACTTTTTGCTTTGTTTTCACGCCACCAACAGAACCAGGGCTCTAGAGCAAGATTCAAAAGAAAAAAAGATGTATCTTTTTTGCATCTCTGAGTTCTGTAAATTCTGACCTGCTTTATTTTGGCTTCTGCAGAGAAAGGGAATAAGGAAAACCTACAGGGCACACCTGGTCCGTCGGAGAAAGCAGGGAAGTGGGGCCACAGAACAGCTTCTTGCCCACAGGGCTCTCCCCTGACCTTGGAGATGAGCTAGAGTGACTGGATGCTGAAGAGGCCTCTTGCAGAACTCTGGGAGAGGGCGCAAACACTTACGGCGGGGCACAGCCCTCACTGCGGCCCCACCACTGCGTTTCACGCTAGTTCTCCCTTACGACCACCATCTGGAGCCTTCCACAGCTCTCGTCTCTCATGTGAGAGCACACAGGGGGCTGCGTGTAGTCAAAACACAGCTGCACACGAGCAGATTCGCACTGAAACTTCCTAGCGGGAGCATTAACAGTGAAGGGTAGAATTTAATAAATTTAGTACAGGCCCATTGCCTGGTGTGCTTTAGGGTCATTTTTCCTGCACTTCACAGCTGAAGAAATCAGTCTGAAGCACCATTTTCAACACATCACTAAATCACACTCTTTTTTCAAGGATCTATAACAACCTCCTGTAGCCTCTCAAACAAAATCCAAATTCCTGAGAGGTGTTCAAGGGCGTCCATCCTCTTGCAATCATCTTTCATTGCCGGAATATCTATGACTCCCGCTTTACATATGTTATCTAATTTAATCTTTACAGATAAAAAATATTATCACCTCTAACTTGTAGATGAGACTCAGTGAGGGTAAGTGACAAGTTAGAAACTGCACAGCTACCAGCTCCACCAAGACTAAACTTGCACTTATCTACGTTTAGAGACCAGATTCTCCCCATGGCTACTTACTTCACTTTACCCCCTACTACTCTGTGGCTCAGTCTCATAAAAGGGGGACCTGATTCCTCTGAGAAATCTTGGTCCCAACCTAATATGATTTTGAGAAAACACCAATAATTCTTTAAACAGTACCCACTGCCCTCTGCTATGGTGAATTGTATAATCTTTTGCTGTTCGTATTTATTTCATGTGTATATCCTTGTGTCTTCAACAAAGCCAAATGCTTCTTTCAGGCCAGGGCTCCATTTCTTTTGTCTCCCTCACAGCATCCATCCTAAGTTGGGGGTCAGGGGACAGATTGCTGTGACCACTCCAGACTCATAACAAGCTGTCGCTCAAAGTATATCATTTATGCCTTGCAACAACCTCACAGGTCAGGCAGGACAGGAATATCTGCCATCCTGGAGATGAGGCATTTGTAGCCAAGGAAGCTGAAAGGACAGAGTTTGGAGGCAATGAGGAGAGAGAATTCAGGGCTGCAGACACGGGTCCACTGGCCTGTGCTGGCTTCGGTCCACTTCCTGGGCTTTCTGCCCAGGGATTTGTTTGCTGGCTCGCTGCTTTACGTTTCCAGCCACAGCTCTCCTTTCTGATCTGTCTTCCCTCTGATCCATGCACAAGCTCGCTACCATTCCTGCTTCATCTATATCTTCCTACCACCCACTGCCATGGACCCCTCAGATGCACAGTTAATGAGATGCTTGTTGAATCAGTGAGCAGCTTCCACTTCTGCTAAATTTTAAGGACAGTCCAGGGTAGCATCCCCTCAATGTGCTTTTAGTTCATGTATCTCATGAGGAAGGATGTCCACAGTCAATTTGGAAAATGCCACAGCAGAGGGCACACGAGCAATATTAAGCACAGGGTGATGATGCCCCAGGCAAAGAAGTGGGGTAAGCCTACTTTATCCCAGAACTCCTCAAAATGATGTGACCAGGCTCTCATTTTTCACTCAATACTCCTAACCTGGGCAGCACTGATGGAGAGGGCTCTGTGTATTGTGTCAATGTGCCAGCTGAGGAGAAGGCAGCTTCCCCTGCAAAGCTTGGGCATGAGAGGATGAACAATGCCAGGACAGCAGATTAGACTCCAGGGAAAAAATCAGGCTGGGAATGACGACGCAAACACCAGACCACAGAGAGGGCTCCTCCACGTGAGCTGATGAACACGATGTGAAATGAGGTAGCTCTCAACACCCACGGCCACAGAGAACAGTTCAGAGGGAACTCGGCCAGTGTGGCAGGGGTGAGCACAGGGGCCTGAGAATGGCAGGTGTGTCCACCTCCTCCCACTCCTGGGGCAGGGAAGCAAGGGCCGTTAACATTTTCCTTCAAAGCAGCACGAACCAGTCTGAGCAGCAGAGAATCAGGTGTGTGGTTATAAAGAGCCCGAATGCCAAGTGGGGTTCAGGAAAAGGAGTCTCACTGCTCTCTATAAGGTGACCTGGGCCAGCGCAGTCACAGCGGGACAGTGAGTCTGAAGAGGATGAACAGGATAACGCCACTTCCTGTCTTTGCCATTTTCACTCTGAAAACTCATTTTCTTTCTAAAGGCAGTCTGTGTTAACCTTGGGAAAAATGTTAGAATAACCAAACTTTTATTCTTACGAATACATTCCTCTCTAGCAGAAAGAAAAACTGTGCCGGGTAGCTAACATATCACTTGCCACTTCTCAATTCCTTCTTCATACAGAAGCAAGGAACTCAAAACCGTACGTGGCCTCAGGTGACTTACACTTAGGACTCCTTTCGGAGACTCATGCTTCCTCTCCTTAGCAAGAAGCCTCTGACAGCTACTGGACGAAATGACAAGGGCTTCTTTCATTACTGAGCAGTTCAAAGTTTTGTAATTATCTCAGTGACATGTAGAAAGAATTTGCTTAGAGCACTTTATAATGGTACTCCTCTTAGGCAAAAGTTCAGCCACCTCAGGAGCTCTGAGATTCACATTTCATTACAGAAATAACACTCAGTGTTCATGAATTAAACCTGCGGAGTCATGAAGAGGAGTCTGCACAGTTGATCTTCACAGTCACTAGCTTTTTTTTGCAGTTTTTAGCTGGGGCTGGGTTTGAACCCGCCACCTCCAGCATATGGGGCCAGTGCCCTGCTCCTTTGAGCCACAGGCACTGCCCACTAACTTTTTTTTTTTAAAATCTACCATTTCTTCACTACTTGTACTGTCCCTGGAACCCAGTTATTTCTTACACCTCAATACTCTGGAGTTTCTCAACAAACTGTGGCACAAAGCAGGCTTTAAAGAAGCCTCTACTTTTATCACCTCTACTTTTTAATTTAACTTGTGTATTTTTTCATTTTGAATTATCCCATTAGAATGTTAGCTCTATGAAGATAGAGCCATTTTCTGTCATGGAATTGCTGTATTCTAGAGCCAAGCACTGTGCTGGTGGCTGGCGCTCAATAAATATTTGTAGAGGCAGCGGCTGTAGCTCAGTGAGTGGGGTGCTGGTCACGTATGCCCGGGCTGGCGGGTTCAAAACCGGCCAGGGCTAGTTAAACAACAGTGACAACTGCAACAAAAAAAATAGCTGGGCATTGTGGTGGGTGCCTGTAGTCCCAGCTACTTGGGAGGCTAAGGCAAGAGAATCACTTAAGCTCAAGAGTTTGAGGTTGCTGTGAGCTATGATGCCATAGCACTTTACTGAGTGCGACAAAGTAAGACTGTCTCAAAAAAAAAAAAATAAAAAAATTTTGTTGAAAGATAACAAATGAATGAATAATGCATGAATAAAATTATGAAGAAGAAATAATAATTTGAGTTTCTAGGAAAGGCCAGGGTTATAGCAGCTCATGGTTTTTATAGGTTAATGTTGCTAGAGAGAGATAGTGACACAGAGATAGGAACCTTACGGAAAGGGAGTGAATACTGGAGAGATGGCTTATTCAGAATGAATGGACAGTTATTATATAGTGCAGAAAAATGCTGAGGAGGAAATGAGGACCAAGGGGGAATAAAGCTTTCCCGATTACTTAGTGCTCCTGCAAAAAGCTTCAGCCTCTTGAGACAAGAGGGAAGGAGAAAAAAACCTGAGGGAATTTTAGACTCATTCTGGAAACTTGAGATGGAAACATTAAGTGCTGTGAGTTACGATTGTGTCTGAGGCACAGGTACATAATCAGGTGCTGCTCTAGCCCATTATGGTGCCCCCTGCCGGCCATGGTTTGCAGAAGTGAGTTTGGGTCTATTTCAGAACCTATTTAGAAATTTGGTCCCCAAAATGATACAGAAGGTTGTAAGAAAAAAACAAAACAAAACCCTATAATCACAGTAATCCCAAATGTTTGTACACTCTAGAAGAAACTGTTTTCTTCCTTCTTTAGAAATCAAAGGCTACTTTAGAGCTCCACAACCTTGAGAAGTTTCAACCTTCTCCCAAGAAGCTCTGTGCTCTGAATTACTATTTAATTTTCCCCTTTCCACTTTAAAGTAGAAATAGCCATGGCTTTTATTGGAACCTTGTAATGTTTTTATATGAGGCATCTACATCTTCCACACAGATAGTCATTATAGCTATAAAAGGTTTCATTATTATTTGTAGGTCAATGCTAATTTTTCTTTTTATATTTTCACAAAGAAAACACAGTTAAGAAGGTTTTTTATTAATATTTATCGTCTTTGTTCTGATCCATGACAAAAGGCAAAAAGGAAAGATTCTGACCATGTCTAATCCCTAACCTGCATTCCCTGTGATTTATGGGTGGTCACACTTCCCAGGTAGTGAACTTCCCCATCCAGTTACTGCTTTGGCTGAGCCCGAGGGAGACCAGTCTGCAGATTATTCCCCACTGGTGATGTGTGCAACATACTTAGACATTTCTGGGAATCAATACAGAGATTTGGGGGCAATGAAAGTTAATGCTTCTGTACTTCAAAGACAGCTGTGTAATTAGGAGACTGAGAGGAGGGGACTAAGAGAGAGATAAGGAAAATGGGGAGTCTGAAGCCCAAAAGGCTCCTCCAGACTAGCATGGGCTTGGGGGCCCATGGGAGGGAGGGGAGGTGCCTGAGGGAGAGCCACGAGTCCATGCTCCCTCTGCTCAGAGAAAGGAACCAGGCAGAGGAGGGCCTGCATCAGCGCGGGGCTTACCTCAGGGCTGGAGTAGTGGGGGGGCTTGCTGCCCTCGCTCTCGCTGGAGCTGCTCTCCGTCTCCGAGTCAGATCCGGAGCTGCTCTCGGAGTCACTGGAGGAGCTGCTGCTGCCGCTGCTGCTGCCGCTGCTGCTGCCCTTGCTGGAAGGCACCGAGGCTCTGCAGTTGGGCTGCTGGACCACCGTGCTGCCGGCCCACAGGGCCCCCCATGAAGGAGAGGGAAGGAAAGCCAAGTGAGCAAACAGGAAAACACCACCATGCTGTCATACAACCAAAGGGAAGAGGAGGCACACACAGCCTACACATCTGTCAACCGTGACCTGGAAAGCAAAGGTCAAAGGCATCCTAATGGCTAAAACAATTACATACAGAAATAAAATCGGGGATAAAAGTTGGTGTCCCTTGGTAGTCAGGCACTGGTTATTTATATGGCCATTTCAGAAGGGAAGGTGGTGTAATATCTGAATGGCTATTTCTATTTTGCTGCTGCTCTGGAAATGGCTTTTCAAATGCATCCCCAAATCCAATCATCTTCAAAAATGCAAGGAAATCCAAAAAGCTTGAAATATTTTGTAAAGTGTGAAAATGACTGCTTTATTTTTGCCCTAGAGGAAAAAGCAGCATGATGGCAGGGATTAGGAAGAGGGCTGTCAGGAGGGGCATGACACTCTGCTCTGAGCTTTCATGGTCTGCTCCAAGGTGCCAGACACTGTGGCACTGTCAAAGTTAAAGTTTTGCTTTCCCCCTTGTCCCACCCACAGAGTTGAGTGTAGCAGTGATTACAGGAGCTGGTATGTTGTATCAACAGTAACCTTCCTTTGAGCCCTTCACCAAACAACTGAGGATCTCCCACTGACACATTTTTATATATTCCAGACTTTACAATTCAATCCCAGTACAGTGGCTTATAGCAACAGCATTTTAAATTTATCCATGCTGGTATTTGCTAGAAAGTCATTACACAGACTCAAAGATAATAGGAAAAAAATCAATTGATACTTTCCAATGGTAATTAATTAACCACAAGAAATCAAATAGCACACATCCAGCCAAAAAGAAAATTTCAGTACTCACATAATATTCAACATCTTCAAAGTCCTTTATTGACTGAATTGAAACACACATGGATGTGTTCTTTTGAGCTCAAGCTCTAAACCCAGAAAATGCTGGTCATTTTTTAAATGTTGAGTCAGCAAATACCTGTTTGCCACTTCCAACTGTGACCACTACCTGAACAGGACTGAACATCAGTGAAGGCCAAGGGCCAGGCAGCTCGTTAGGGTTTATGGTCTCAAGGGCAAACAGCCTAGACAAAGTAGAGGACTCTTTTCACCTATCCTCTTAAATCTTTGACAAATGCTTTCCCCAAGGACAGACTCTCATAAATCCTGGGGGTGGGGTGGGAAGGATGGAGGTAACACTCACTGGACCCTTGCTTCTATAAAAAACATAAACCAAGAAACTATCTTACAGGAAATCTGAAAATAAAAGCTCCTTTTTGAATGGCAGGGTTGGGGGAAACTGGAGTTTAAACATAACTTTCCTTCCCTAGGGTTTTCTCTTTTCCACTAATGTCACGGTCTATACTGACTGACAACATTCTTCAACATCAGGCAACATCTGCACGTTCATGCCTTGCTGAAGTTGCATTTCTTTTCTTGCCTACTGTTTCTGTTTGGTACTGAGTGAGGAATCCTGGATCTTGAGAGAGGGTAGAGGAAGGGATGGTTAGTGCTTAAGAGCTGTAATAATTCTTTCTGCCCTTATGAATAGAAATCCACCTTTCTTGTTGGCTAAATCATTAAAAAGAAAAGACTATTGCATCACGGCAAAACACAAACATCCAGGATCCATGTTAATAATTTGTCAGGAGGCCCCCAAAACACTGGGGAAAAATACAAATAAATAAGAAAAGCCAAACAACACACGGCCCAGAGACTCCCTTTTCTTTTGACGGTGGGGATATACATATGGAGGAAGGAGGTATCTCCCTGCTGAAGACTGGGAAATTAAAATGAATAAAGAGCATTCTGGATTGGTTTTATAATGATGTTAATGGCTTTTTTTTTTTTTTTTTGAGACAGAGTCTCCCTTTGTCACCCTCTGTAGAGTGCGGTGGAGTCATAGCTCACAGCAACCTCAGGCTCTTGGGCTCCAGTGATCCTCTTGCTTCAGCCTCCTGAGTAGCTGGGACTACAGGCACCTGCCACAAAGCTCGGCTATTTTTAGAGACGGAGGTCTCGCTCTTGCTGAGGCTAACATCGAACCTGTGAGCTCAGGCAATCCATCTGCCCTGGCCTCCCAGAGTGCTGGGATTATAGGTGTGAACCACCGCATCTGACCCACGTTCTATGGCTTTGAGCCATAGAACACACTGCATCTGCTCTCAATTTAAACAACAAATAACATGTGATATTGGTTGTGTGTGTACCTGAGCTTTGTGTGTACAGCAGAGGCAGCAATGTGTGTGGAAGTCTTGTGGCTGACAGCACAAACTATCTTTTGAAAAGTGGTACTCTAATTTCTGGGAAAATGTCCACTAAACAGTTACCATACCATTTCCCTTTAATGGTTGCTGTCCTAGAGTAATGAGGTACAGTAGCCCAAGGAGATAGAATTTCCAATCTGAATTAGATTGGTAGAAAAGCCTTCTATTTTTGTGTTCCTTTCTTAAATTAGAAAATTTGCTTACAGTGACAGTTTTACTGGCATAACTACCATTTGTTTGTAAAACAGACAAGAGAGCCAAGAATTTAGGTTTTTCTCCATGCTTTGCTTATAAGGGTTGTGACGCTCACGATGTCAGGGTTGAATATACTCATGTTTCAGTAGTCTGGGTAGAAAGGACACATCTAGAAGCGGCCCACGTCAAGGATGGGGCTGGCCTGCCTGGAAGGACCCTGGTGGTTCCAGTAGTGGGATCAAGGTAACTAACCCCACCTGAATGAAGGCAGCCCCCTGACTGGCCTTCGTCTGAATCCCTGGAGATAACTGATCCTGGCCTCGGCACAGTGACTGCTCTCATTCGTGAATCCATGCAGCTGCTTCCCTCTGCTGGGGCATCAGCGACCAGCAGGGATCAAGATGAGGAAGCCAGGATGGTCATCTCTACAGACGAGTACTTAGGAGAGGGTGGGCTTAGTAAAGCCAGGAAGGCTCTTTGGAGTCACAGAATCCAGAAGATGGGAAAACACAGACCAGAAAGACCTTATATATTTCAAATTACATGTTGAAAATCTTGGTGTGCCAACTGGTGGTTTGTTTACATATCAAAGATATTTAAAAGAAAAATGTAGTGGGCTTGGCGCCCATGGCATAGTGGTTAGGGCACTGGCCACATATACTGAGGGTGGCAGGTTCGAACCCGGCCCTGGCCTGCTAAACAATAATGACAACTGCAACAAAAAATAGCTAGGTGATGTGGTGGGCACCTGTAGTCCCAGTAACTTGGGAGGCTGAAGCAAGAGAATGGCTTAAGCCCAAGAGTTTGAGGCTGCTGTGAGCTGTGACACCAAGGCACTCTACCTAGGGCGACATACTGCGACTACCTCAAAACAAACAAACAAACAAAAAACATAGTGGAAATTTTCCTAAAATAACACAGAAGGGTTGACATGATGACAGCCTTAGACAATTTTTAGATACTACACACCAAGTTCTTGGTCTCTATGCCATTTCATGGACATGGTGCCATTGACAGCAGCTGACCATGGTATAAAAGTCTGTGTGTCACCCAGTGCCTGGCATTTGATCTGTGGTTTATTACAAGACAAAAATCAAGAAACATAAAATCTGCACAGATGGAAACAAATAAATGAAGCCCTCCTAGCAAGCTGAGCAAGCTGAAACTTGCACAGATGAACCAGAAAGGACACTGCTGACTGTGTTTCTTGAAAGTGAAATAATGGCCCATAACACAGTCTGTCTGAAAACTTTTGTAGTGACCAGTGTAGCCGCTCTCCTGTGTTTACTGAATAAACTGTAAAAACAATTCATCACTGGGTTAATGAGATTTTTTTTTTTTAAACAAAAGATTTAACCTTTCAGAACAGATACAATTTCTTTTTTTCAAACTAAAAAACTATTTAAGGGGACTTCAGCATCTTTCATGCTCTTCCAATTTTAATACTTCTTCCTTTGGTGAGATTTCTTTAACTGTACTCTTAAATTTCATCTGCTACAACTTAAACACAGTTCCCTCTTGGATGGTTTGTTTATTTTTTGCATTTTGATTTCATGAAATGCTTTCCTGGCTTTGTGAGTGGCCAGGACCCCTCTGAGAGAGGCCCAGCTTTATTCCAAATGATCTGCTTGCTACATCCCTTCCTTTGGCTCCAGTGGCGCTGTCCTTTTGGAAATGGCCTGGGCCAACTCTGAATACAGACCTTTAAAGAAAAGACCTGGAATTGAAATGACAAATCCTGGCTCTCACAGTCAAGGGTGCTTCTGCCTGCCAAGTGTATTGTGGGATCTGGATAAATATCCAAAGTTGTCCACAAGCTTTTAACTGACAAGTAATTTGGAGACAGGCTCTCTGCCTGGTTGGCACTGGTATGGATAGCTGTGATGCCCACACAGTGCCACACATGCTGTGGGTACTCCATTGGTACTGACTAAATGATAATATTTAGCTCTTTCCCACTCAACACTCTGTAAAAACTCAACAAATGCTTGATTTCCAAACCGTAACCAGTGTCTTGGCAATAGTACTCGTTTGTTGATAGCATTTCTGCTGATAGTAATTGATCTAAAACCATAACCACATGATAAGTGAAAATGGTAAAACTGTTTTGAGGAGGCTCAAGGTTGCACTGAGAATTATCTTCCAAAACACCAAACTGATAGGACTGCTGGTTCTATATGGAAATATTTTGATTTGCTCTGCCATACCTCCAGGAACATGGCTTTTGAAGCTTTTGACGGTCTGGGCTCACTCAGATCTCCAGGTTTATCATAATGGGTCTATGCCTAAACCTTGGTGATAAAACCTTTCTGTCTTGATAGCCTGTGTTTGTTTAGAGCGGGGGGCCTTTCCACATGCTATTTTTTGTGCCAGAAAGTCCTTTCTCTCTTTTAAATTTTTTTTGGTTATTGTTACTCTTCAGGACTGAGCTGTACTGTTACCCTGTTCTGGAAAGGTTTTCTCAATTTCCCGAGGCATAAATTGATGTTTCCTCCCTCGAGTT